TTTTTATATAGCCTCAACATAGAGCGAAATAATAAAAATAGTAACATAATATTATTAAACATAAATGTGAAACGTAGCCTATGTTTTTTTGTTTTTTTTTACTTTATATTTAGCGTCACGCCGCTCCGCTCCTATTGTGAGTGTAAGCCTACTTTACACGAAAACGTACACCTTTTTACAGTTTAAAAGATGATTTTTATTTTAGCTGTTATGAGAAAAATAAATTCAAGTGAACACCGCCGCGTTTGTCGAACACAATTAATGCCAGAATAAAACCTAATTTTAGAATAGGCCTACACTGGGCGTGGTGTGTCAAAAAAAATACTCAATTATAAACTTCAATATTTCAATATTTCGTTCAAAACCACCTCAAAACAATTCGTGACATTTTAAAAAGCCGTGAATCAATGTATTAAGGCCACTGAAACTGAAACTGAATCTCTCAAATACAGGAGCAGAAGCGCTGGTTCAGATTTTATTATTTGTTGTTTAAACATGCGTGTTGCATATTTAAAAATAAATAAATAAATATATTTGATATGGTCTAGGCTAATTATAACATTGATTACTGTGGAGGGGGGGGGGTGTTTTTTTTAATTCTACATGGAACCCCATTAAGTTTTATTTTCTATATTTTTTTTTTTTTTGCATAACTGCTTTTGAAGATGTAAATTCAGTCAATCTGTTGGAAGAGATTTGTTCCTTAGTTTAAAATAGAAATGCATGGTCATTTTATTTTATAAATATAAGCAAAAAACCTAAATGGTGTAACAGAGTTTTAGAACAAATCTTTCTGCATTAATAGCCTAAATATAAAATATAACTATAGTAATCCATGTTTGAGCAAGCTTCGAACCCATGTGTTTGTAATGGTAAAACCGTAGGCCTATGCTCTACCACTCAGCCATGTGTTCGGTCTAATGAATGATAAATAAATTCAAGTCACCACCGCCGCGTTTGTCGAACAATAGGCTATTAAGGCCACTGAAACTGAAACGCGCGCTGCATGTTATCTGTCAATACAGGCGCAGAAGCGCTGGTTCAGATTTTATTAGGCTATTTGTTGTTTAAACGTGCGTGTTGCATATTTAAAAATATATATACACATATTTGATATTGTCTATTTAGGCGATTTGTAGCATTGATTACTGTGGAGGGGGAAATACCCCACCGGCAAATCGCAACTTGCTTAGCTTGGTTATGTTTTTTTTTTTTTTTTTTAATCTACATGGAATTTTTTTTATCATAACTGCTTTTGAAGATGTAAATTAAGTCAATCTGTTGGAAGAGATTTGTTCCTTAATGTAAAATAGAAATGCAAGGTAATTTTAATACATGTTTATGCGGGATTCGAAACAGTGTCATCAAAACAATTGTACCAATGTTCTACCACTCGACCACGACTTTCTCACTGAAGAAAGCCCAGAAG